TTTATTTCTTTTAATTTTAAAAATTGTTTCTTATCTGGCTGCACTGGGTCTTAGTTGTGGCATGTGAGAGCATTAACTTGTGGCATGTGGCATCTAGTTCCCTGCCCAGTGATCAAACCTGGGCCCTCTGCATTGGGAGCTTGGAGTCTTAGCCAGTGGATCATCAGGGAAGTCCCTCTATTTTTTAAAAATTCACATTGTTCATGGAAGTATTCATTTCCCCAAAGCCTAGCACTAATACCAATCATCCATAGTTCTTGGGGCCATTAATGCAGACGGCGCCCCCACTCCACCCAGCCTTGGCAAGGATTCCAGAAGCCCCTCTCCTTTCTACAGAGAAGGAAAGAAACTGAAGCACAGAAGTCATTCAGTTGGGGAGGAAAACTAGATTTACAACTTCATAAAATAAAACTTCTTTCTAACGTCCTGATATCAAAAGGAGATGATCTTCATTTGACTCAATGTCCTCATCCTTTGAGGTTAAATTCAAAGTTTTCCTGATTTTTAGAGCGAAGGCTGCTGCCATATTTCTAGGCTGGTTTTGAGGACTCCACAGGGGTCTGTGCCTCTCTAAACCCCCGCTCTCGCCCACCCTGAACGGGGTCACTGCCCTAGTGCAGAAGCGCTCCACGGAGGGGCTGAGGGGAGAAGCGGTCCCAGGTGTCCTCGCCTGCTCCTTCAGTCCCCCCGAGGGCCAGCCTGCGCTGGACACACTGCCCACCTTGCATTAGAGGTCAGGACACACCCTGGGGCACTTTCCTGCACCGACAGGAGTGCTCTGTACACTGAAGTGGGTGGAAGCCTCAAGCCCTGAGTCAGCTCCACAGAGGAGGTCTATGTGGACTTGAGCGTGGATGGCACCGGAGGAGGTAAAGACGTGCAAATGGGTCCTCGGGGCTGCCCACAGGCAGGAGGGCCAGGGTGGGAGGTGTCTGGAGGGAGCCTGAGACCCTCCCCACGGGGAGAAGACAGCAGACAGAGCAGCGGGCAGTGTGAGCACAGCTTTGGAGCTGGGAGAAGTCTGAACGGGACCGGGCCCCCAGGAGGCGCCCTGACTCTGCCACCTGCGGTCAGCACCCCCAGCCCACAGCTGCAGCTCCCACCCCGGGTGAAGCGAGGATGCCTGGGAGCTCCACAGCCCACAGTTGGTTGGGAAAGGCAGTGGGTTGTGGCTTTTCCAGAACTCCAGTTCCCCTATGACTGCGACAGGTGCTGCCTGCACGACAGTTAAGACAACATGCCCACGTCCTCTCTGGTGATGCCCGGCTCCCCGGTGTGGGTGCTAGCACTTTGTCACCTTCTTTTAAGTGGCCTTCAGGGCACCACTGAAGCTGCGGTCAAACTGAGAAGGAGCTGTCGATGACAGCCGGTTGATTTAGTTTTAAACTAAACAAACCCTGGGAACACAGGCAGCCAACAGCTGGTTGCAGAGATTACCACCTTCTGGACAAGCTCCTCAAGTGCTTGACCCCAGGAGGCAGTGGTGCGAGGCTGAAAGGACAGCAACTTCTGGTCTCCTGAGTCTGCAAACCGCTGGCCGGGCTGTCAGGAGAATAGTGGTCATTGAATTGCCAGGTGCCACTGCTGCTGGAGGCCGTCTGAGGGGCTGTGAGCTCCAAAGCAGCAGCAGGAAACATGCAGGAACCTCAGCTTCCTCTTCCACCCCCGAGTCTCCATGCAGACCAGCTTGATCCCTTTCAGAGGGTTAAGGCTCCCCAGGCCTCTGTGCTCAGCCTCACGGATGGAAGTGATGGAAACCTGGGCATTAGATGATGGGCCCCTGTGTGGGGTGGGGGGATGCATTCATTCTAAGAGAAGTGGGTTTCCCCAGAGTCCACTCTTGGAAGCAAATGACAAAGAGTCCAAGGGGTAACACAGAGGCTGGAGCGGTGAGGGTGCTGAATGGGGACGCACCTGAGCAGCACCTGGGCAGCTGGAAAAGAGCTGTGCTGACACCAGGAAGGTAGCTTCTTCTGTGCAGCAGAAGGCTGTGGCTGCAAACCCCAAAACCAAGTGGCTAGGAATGCTGAAGCCGCCATGGAAATACATACGGGGTGAGGAGGATGCATCTTAGCTATGTGGGAAAGGTGGCAGCAAACTTAAAAGCACCCATTCGATTCTAACCCAGGCATTTTAGGGGCTTCCCTGATGGCTCAGTGGTAAAGAACCCACCTGCCAGTGCAGGAGACATAAGAGACCTGGGTTCAACCCCTGGGTAAGGAAGATCCCCTGGAGGTTAGCATGGCAACCCACTCCAGTATTCTTGCCTGGAGAACCCCATGGACAGAGGAGCCTGGCAGGTTACAGTCCATGGGGGTCACAGAGTCAGACACAACTGAAATGACTTAGCACATACTCATTGTAGTTTGAGATTTGTGAGTTTACAATTCCCTGAAGCTTTCCTAGGAGCTGCTGAGATTTAAGAGGGAGGGACCATCCTGGCAAAGCTGTGCTTGAGTGTACGCACTTGGGTATCACTGATGCTTTGGTCCATGAAGCAACCGTCCGAGATGTGTCAAAGCATCAACCGGCTGAGCTGATACCTGCCCAGGTGGCTGGCTCCACATCAGTGCCTTTGCTGCAGGAATCAGACGGGTGTTGGAGGCTTGGCCTGAGTTTGTGGGGGTCAGAACTCCAGGCAGAACCTCCATCGACTCCATTCATTCAGGATTCAGTGACCTTGAGTCACTCACAGCACTGACAGGTTTTCACGAGCACCCTCTGGAACCCCCGACCCTCCCTCTGCACCCCAGGGCTCAGGCTGACCGCACTTTGAGCCTGGGCTCACCCACAGCTCTCCCCCTGTCCCTGTGAGGCTCGCTCCTTTGCACGACTGCCCATCTTGGGACACTTTGCAGCATTTTGCCACCTACTTGTTGAATAGAACTTTATATTAATGAAAGACCCATCAGGGCAAGGCAGTGTGGAGTGTATACCATGCCGTGTGCAGTTTGTGCTTGCATGCCAAGCTGCTTCAGTCGTGTCGGATTCTGTGCGACCACCTTGCCAGGCTCTTCTGTTCATGGGATTCTCTCGGCAAGAGTACTGCAGTGGGTCGCTGTGCCATCCTCCAGGCGATCTTCCTGACTCAGGGATCAAACCTGCGTCTCTTACATCTAACCTGCATTGGCAGGTGGGTTCTTAACCACTAGGGCTGCATTCATTGTTCCTTCCTTTGTTCTGTGAACATCTGTGGGACACTGTTGCACACAAGTACTGAGCTAGATGGCCGTGGATCGATTACATAGCACATCTGAGTGGACCCCTGCCTCCAAGAGCATCCTTCCCGCCCATCACCTTCCTAAGTTCAGCTCCTGCCCCCATCCCACTCTGCTTATCTCCACTCACCTCCTTGAGGGCCGGGCACACTCCTGCCTCCTGGCCTTTGCACCTGCTGTTCCCGGAAGGTTCTTTCCCCTGAGTCCCACGTGGTTCACTCCCCGTCCCTCGGGCTTTGCTGGCTAAGTCACTGTCTTAGGAGCAAGCCTTGCTCTGATGTCTCCCATCCTCACTTGATTTATGTTCCTTCCCAAGCAGTTCTCCCTCACATGTTGAACATGGATCTATTTATCAGTGGGATATAAGCTGCTCAGTGGCAGGGATGTTTGTCTGTGTTGGTCCCTGCTGTTTCTTGAGTATCCAGAACAGTGCTGGGCACAGAATGGGCAATGAGTCAATATTAGTGGAATTAGTAGTTGGATGAATATATGACCTGAACCACAAAGTAAGTGGTTTAGCATGAAATTAGGTCATATTCTGGACAAGCAAACAGGTGATAGGTACCACGCAGTGTAGCTGAGAGCCAGGCTGGTCCACACGGGCTCGACACTGCCCTGGTCCTTTAGTGCTGTGGTGTCCCTGGGTTCATTATCTCCTTCCCAAGAATTAACATCAAGTTGCAGATAACAGGGACTTCCCTGGTGGTTCCGTGGTTTAAAATCCGCCTTACAATGTAGAGGGTGAGGGTGCGATCCATGGTTGAGGAACTAAGATCCCACATGCTGCGGGGCAAACTCAACTAGAGAGTGATAGTCCGGGCGCTGCAACAAAAGATCCCACATGACGCAATGCAGCTCTCGAGTGTTGCGAAGCAGCTCTCCCATGCAGCAGCCAAGTCCCCATGCAGTCAAATAAACATTTTTTTTAATATCAGAAAAAAACAGAGAGTGCTCATTTGCATGTGGGCACCAGTTTCTCTTCCCCTGGGCACACACCTGACATCCACTAACTGTCCCAGGAACGCCAGGGGAGCCCAGGTCACCCCAGTGGGCCTGCCTGACCCTGAAGACATTTCCTATTCTGAGACTCTGAGCCTGAAGAGGAAGTAAGAGTTCAAATACCAGTAAAGGTTCTTGGTTCTTCCAAGAATGCAGCAAACCTGGGACAATCCCCTGTGAATAAAGGATGGCCATGCTGTCCCCCACGCAGGAAAGCATTTGTTCAGATAGTTTTTCAGGGCCAAGTTAGCAAAGAGGGCCGCCAGCGGAACCACTCTCAGAAGAGAGATTCAATTAGGCGTCTGTGCAGTCGCATGAAGGCCGTGTCCCAACACCGAGGTGGCCTGTTTTTCTGGTCATTATTAATCCAGAAACCTTAATGATGAACAACATTTGTGTTATTGTCTCCCCAAATTTAATTTGTTTATGCAGCAGTTCAGTTAATCCTGCAATCTGTTTTTCTCAAACGGGGGCAGATAATGGAGACACCGTTCTTTACAAGTCTTCAGGCTTTTAAATTCTGATAAAATCAGGATTCTTCACTGGGTCTTGCCCCAGCTCTGAATTAAACCACTTTAAATGTAATTATGGAAGCCGGCCTTACATCAGGGACATCCATTTACAAAATTGATTGGCCATGCTGTTCCGCGAGGCATTTCGTGAGCAAACGATTACAAAAGAGCCAGAACTGTAATTTATAAAGGCAAAAAAAAGGAGGTAAATACTTTATTAGTGGTAATGAGAGGGTTTCCAACTAACTGAACCTTTTTCTTCCCTCGCCAGCTACTTCACGGAGTCGTGGTGCATGGCCCTCTTTCACGATCGTTTTATTGATCTCCGGAAAGCGTTACACCAAATCTTATCCTCCAAGGAGGTAAGCGTGATTAACGGATATGTGAGTTATTCCTTGCAAATTAGGAATTACAAGCTGTTGATCATTTAGACTTTTCCCTACATTCTCACTTTATGGTTTCACTTTGAAAACCAACTGTCCTTCACTTAAACAAACCATGGAGTCGGTAAACATAGACAGTGATATTTCAGGGCAAGTGGGTGATTCAAATCTCTTATGTGAGGCAGATTTCTTTTCCTCTTTTACAAGTACCTGTACTTTCATTATCACGTGACAGTGAGGGCTGAAAGCAGGTAGTGGGCTGTACCTCCTGGCCCCCGAGCATGAAGTCTCCTTTCCTATGGTCTCTGTCCACATCTGCCAGTTGACTGTTAACCATTTGTGTGCATATGTTGTTCTAAACGTGTCAAGGGAAGTCAACAGGTGTCCAGATGCACTCCTCTTATTTTTTATTTACTTACTTAGTTTTTTGCAAATTTCGGTGCCTTTTTTTTTTTAATTCACTTTGGCCATGTTGTGTGGCATATGGGATCTTAGTTCCCCGACCAGGGATCGAACCCATGTGCTCTGCAGTGGAAGCAGAGAATCTTAACCACTGGAGAATCAGGGAAGTCCCTAAACATGCTCCTTTTAAAACTGAAACTTCTTTCTCCAAGCAATTCAGGATTAACTGCAAGTGAGGCTGAAGACTGCACAGACTCTGTACTTGGCAAGAAATATGACTCTGGCATCTAAATAGTAAAATATTTATGAAACTTTATTTTTTTTCAACACCTGCAGTCCTTACCAGAGTTGTGGGGAATTTACATGTTCAGTCAAGTATCCATTCTATATGCTTTGTTGGTTTACTCAGAAGAGGGCTGGGGCTTGGCTGAGTGGTCTGACTGTCTAAATGAGCAGGTCCTGTGTCTCTGTATCACCTCCTCATGGGTCCCCAGGGTGTAGGCTGCCAATGCAGGAGATGGTGGTTCTATCCCTGGGTCAGGAAGACTCCCTGAAGAAGGAAATGGCAACCCACTGCAATATTCTTGTCTGGAAAATCCCATGGACAGAGGAGCCTGGTGGGCTTCAGCCCATGGGGTCGCAAAAGAGTCGGACGTGACTTACCGACTAAACAACAAAAACCAAAATGAGAAAACAATCTGAAAAAGAATATATCTATATCTATCTATCTATCAAACTGATTCACTTTGTTGTACACCTGAAACTCACACAAATTGTAAATCAACTATACTCCAATATAAAGTAAAAATTTTAAACACCAAAGTACCAAGTTTAAAAGTTTAAAGAGATTGTTAAGATAGGACTACTATGCAAACAACCTACAGATTGTGTACAAGCCTATAAAAATCCCCATTTCTTTTTTTTGGAATGGAAAAGCCAATCCTAAAGTTCATATGGAAATGCAAAAGACTCCAAATTATTAAAGCAATTTGAGAAACTTTAAAAAAGTTGATGGACACACACTTTGCAGTTTCAAAACTTAATACAAATCAGTGGTAACCAAGATAGTATGGTACTTATATAAGAATAGACATAGAGATCAATGGAGTAAAATTAAGAGCCAAAGTAAGCCCATTTACATGAAAAGATGTTAACATCATTAATCACTAGAGAAATACAAAAACCAGAGACACAATGAGAGATATCACTTCACACCTACTAGGATGGCTACAGTTAAAAAAAAAAAAAAGAGGAAAGAATGAGTGTTGGCAAGGATGTGGAAAAATTGAAACTCTCACACATTACTAGTGGGAATATAAAAATACTATGCAATTGCTATGAAAAAAACAGTTTGATGGCTCCTAAAAACTTATAAACAGAATTACTATATGACCTAGCCATTGTACTCCTAGGTATATAGCCCCACAGAACTGAAAATCAGTATTCAAATGAATACTTGTATATGCATGTTCATAGCATCACTATTCAGAATTACAAGACAGAAGAAAGAACCCAAATGTCCATTGTGGGACCTGTGGATAAACAAACGTGGTCTCTCCATACAATGGAAAGTACTCTGCCATGAAAGAAATGAAGTGCTGATACATTCTAACAGTGGATAAACCTCAGAACACTGAGTTAACTGAAAGGAGCCAGACACAGGAGGTCATGTGTTGTCTGGGGGGCACTGTGAGGTGAGCTGCTCACAGATGAACATGTTGGGGGGTAGGTAGTCACCCTGAGAAAGGGCACACCGGAGAGGCAAATGCACAAAACATGAGTTTACAATCTAGAGCAGTATTTGTCTTCCAGAAATTTGAGAGTTCCATTTTGTGACTTTACACCATTACCCCAGTGTTGGGCTTCCCTGGTAGCTCAGTTGGTAAAGAATCCGCCTGCAATTCAGGAGACCCTGGTTCGATCCCTGGGTTGGGAAGATGCCCTGGAGAAGGGAAAGGCTACCCACTCCAGTATTCTGGCCTGGCGAATTCCATGGACTGTGTAGTCCATGGGGTCTCAAAGAGTCGGACACAACTGAGCAACTTTCACTTGACTTCACTTTTCACCCCAAAGTTAGAACAGCGTCCTACATGAGTCCCAAGTCTCCTCTAATTTTTGCATATTCACTATATTTGATATAGTCTATCTGGAAAATTAAGGAAGAAAGAGCCAACCTCAGCTCTACATGCTCGGGCGTTCAAGTGTCTTGGCGCCTCTAATATTTACTTCTGGGCATCACTTACCATTCTTCCTCTCTCCCATCTTTGTTGATACGCTTTGGGGTCCTGGCCTCCCACAGATGGTTCTTCCAAGTGATATGTGTATAATCTTCATGCCCGGCAGTGTCTCACTTATATAACTAAGTGATAATTACTGTCTCCATATAGTTTGAATCTATTTTTCTACCTATAAGTTCTTGCTATTAATAAATTAGTGATCCAGTAGAACTCTGCAAGTTATCCACTTTTTTTTTTTGCTGTTAAAAATAAAAAAGAATTATTGGAAAGTCAAGTAAATACATCATCAAAATCCATCTTCCTTTAGGGTAATTTTCAATTACTGGAGTGTTCAGAAAGCACACAGCTCAAATCTCAGTGAAGTGCTTTTTCTTTTGGCTTTACTGCCCACACAGTATTTGGGATCTTAGTTCCCCCACCAGGGATCGAACCCATGCCCCCTGCATTGGAAGCCCTGAGTCTTAACCACTGGATTGCCAGAGAAGTCCCTTTTAAAGTTATTTTTATTTTATGAATGAAGTGCTTTATTCAACAATCCTCCTATAAATGGGCAGATAGGTGACGAAACAAGTATGGTAACCATAGAAACCAGATAGTGTGTATCCGAGTGCCAAGTGCATCACTCTGTCAACTTGCCTCTATGTCTGAATCTTTTTATAATAAAATGTTGGGAAAATCTCTACTATATTATAAATATGCACAGTGTGTGATTCTCAACTGCAAATAACTATTCTCTCTGAGCCCCACACCTTTAAAGATAGCAGTAAAATTTGCCTTAACTAAGAATTTAGTTTAGGTTTTAAAAATCCCATTGCTTGGGGACTGTAAAGTAAACCATCTAAGAGTTTTCAACTAAAAATGTTTAATCACCACCTGTTTTTAAAAAAATCCTGATCTACAGATCATTTTTATCTGAAAATTAAGAGCTTAAAATTACTATGCTTGCCGAACTCTTAAGGCATTATGGTATGCGAACTAAGCCAGTCACAAAAAGAGAACTAGTGTTTGATTCCATTTACATGAAATGCCTAAAGTCAAATCATAGAGAAAGCAGAAGTGTGGGGACTTCCTTGGTGGTCCAGTGGCTAAGACTCTGTGTTCACAATATAAAGGGCCTGGGTTTGATTCCTGGTCAGGGATCTAGATCCCACATGCTGCAACTAAGAGTTTGCATGCCTCAACGAAAGACCCTAGGGTGGGCAGTAAATGGTTAGTAGTGACAACTTGGGAGAATGAGAAGGGAATGGCTACCCACTCTGGTAAACTAGAGCTAACTTGATTATTCTAGGGCTTCCCAGGTGGCGCTAGTGGTAAAAAACCAAAAAAAACAAACCTGCCTGCCAATGCAGGAGCTATCAGAGACTTGGGTTCAGTCCCTAGCTGGGGAAGATCCCCTGGAGAAGGGCTTGGCAACCCACTGCAGTATTCTTGCCTGGAGAATCCCACAGACGGAGCCTGGAGGGCTTCAGTCCATGGGGTCACACAGAGTCGGACACACACACCAATGTGCCGAGATGGATGGTGCTGATGGCTGCATGACAACATGAAGGTCCTTTTCACCTCTGAGTTGGACACTTAAAAATAAAGTGGTAAATTTTATGCTATGTGTGTTTTTCCACAGTTTAATTTTTTTAACCTAGAAAAAAAAGACAATATTGTGGCACTCAGTCCAAGTAAAAATAGTTAAAGTGGTAAATTTTATGCTGTGTGTTTTGCCACAGTTTAATTTTTTTTAACCTAGGGAAAAAAAAAACCAATATTGTGGCACTCAAGCCCAAGTAATATCAGTATCTGTCATCTCACTCTATTTTCCAGGATGAAAAACTTCCTTCTATGGAAGAGTTAGCCCGTCAGATCGAAGATGAGGAAATCAACCTGCCAGAGAAGCCCAGGGATTACCTCAAAAGAGTTTTCCAGGAAACCATCTACAGGCCTCTGGTGGAGAAGAGCATCCTTGACTACCTGCACTACAATCATTACCACCTGCCCATGTACGCATGGCCGGGCATCATTTAGCTGCAGCCACCGCCTCCACGTGGCCGTTTCCACTCGTGTCGTTCCGGGAAGTGCTCCACTGAAGCAGGAAACTTGGCTGGACCGCCGGGCACCATCCTTTTCTGCGGCCACCAGATGCCTGTAGTTTCCTATCGTCCCAGTAGGTGGCGCGCGGCGGTGCGACTGGATTCGGGGGCACGGAGAGGCTTTACCCACACCAGGCGTGTTCCGGGCCAGATAACCCAGTTTAGCAATAAAATGAGACCGTTAGTGTGCAAAACTTGCTTTGTTTTTCTTTTTAAACCTTGGGCATGATTCTGTTTGATTTTCTGAAAAGTCCTGCCGCCAGTACTGTTGTTAGTCCTTTACAGGTTTACCTGGTCACGTGGGTGATAAAAGAAAAGTGTATACCCAGGATGGAAAATTAGGAATACAGACGTGGCGAAATTATCTCTATAATCCAACATCAGGAATAGACAAGCTTACAGGGAGTTTGGAAACGAGGGGCCTGCTCTCACGGCCTGTATATTACATTTCTACTTCCTGTTTCAGATTAGGCACATAAATGCAAGGAAAAAACTGGCAGATCAACCCAGGTTGAGGCCCACGTTTTAGATTAGGAAACGGCAGTGGGAGGTTAATCTGGGTCATTTCCTTTGACTCTCGGTGTTGTTGCTTGGCAGTGGGGCCCTCTGGTACCCGTTACCTGTAATGTGGGTCAGTAGCCCACTTTCCCATAAATAAAGCACATTAAATGCCTTCCAGAAATCACATGGATTCAGAAACAACAGGTAAGACTGATTTTGTTTATTTGGATATCTTTTAGGCAGATAGTGTGACATCATTTGTGTCTGAATTTTTGACCAGCAGAGGTTAAAACTGGCTTTCGGTTTTCATCCTTTTTTTTTGTATTTATGTTAACATTTAGCAAAAGTTGGAGCAATTGTAATGACTACACAGCTACTTGGAGGCTAAGTCATTACAGAATTATCCCCCATTAATAAACTAATACCTCTCAAAAAATAAAATGGTTCTGGAACACCAGACTCTGATTTTTCTAAAGCAGGCAAAAGCAAGCAACAAACTCCATTAATTCCTGCACAAATATGCTTTACACAAGGACAGGGGTCATTCAGAGGGAGGGCCCAGCGCCCACCATATGGTATAAACTGTGCCATTCATATGGGGAACAGTCAATACTAGTTCCCTCTTCAAACTGCAAGCTCAACACACATGGAACCATGTTTCAGGGCCTGTGAATGAGTTAGCTCAAGAAACTCTCTCTCCCCGCTTTCCCCTTTCTCTGAGAGGCCCTGGATCAAAGTCATCAGTAAATGGAGTGAGTTTCTGTGACAGGCCCTGGGACCTTGGGTGGAGATGGACAGAACAACAGAGGATAACTGGCGATTATTTCTGTGACCAAGTACTACCGTTAAAAAGCTTCTAGTTACATAAAAGTGACCCTATATGACAGTGCCAACCTTAATGTCAAACCATGCATAAATTTTGTGGTTAAGTTTTTCTCTGCTGCCTTTTAAAAAATAATCTTGGGACCCCATAAGTATCATGGCAGGTCTGAAAATGTCTAGAATATAATTTAGTCTACAAAGTGTATGAGATGAAGTTACTAATCACTGTCCTATATTCAGAAAGTAATTTCCTGAATCAAGGTAGGAATTTTAGCATATGTGTGCAGACAAGCATTGTATGACTAAGGAACAGTTTGTTTAAGAATAGGAGATGAACTCAAGACTTGATCATAACTTGAAGCTGGCTGTTTTACGGATTTCAAGAGAATAAAGATATTTATTCTTCAATGACGCTAAATCCTGGCAAAGGAAAGGGTTCCAGACACTTGGGCTTCTCTAAATCTTTAGAATTCTCTAAATCTAAATCTAACCCTGTCAGAGCTTCCAGAGAGACTGAATCTAAGAAGTCCCCATAAGGTTCAGCTTGTGCTGCTCAGCGGGGAGTCTTGAGCTCTAAGCCTACCCAATCTTGCAATTCTAATTTTGGACAAAGAATACAAGAAAACACCAAAGTTACATTTCCTCCTTTGTATTCTCCCCATATCACAAGGAACAACCATGCCTCACGATGCCTTTAATAATTTCCTGACACGGGTTGGTTTCTGCTAACTCGCGGCCACCTCTGTCCCCAAAGTGGCTCTTGAGATGCTACCCAAATATCCCAAGGAGGAGAGAGAAAAATAGATGATGTGGGAGAGGAAAGGGAACCTTGTACGGAGGAGAAAATGTGAAGCTAGTCAATCAATATTTACCCTCAGAAGAAGGGCGTGTGTGTGTGTGTGTGTGTGTGTGTGTGTGCAAGCGCGCCAGCACGGGTGCACCGGTTGAGTGTTAGCCAAGGAGCAGGACGAGGGCCTCGAAAGTCGCCGTGTGCGAGGAGCTGTTGATTGTTTTCTGGTTGAGAGAAGAGGTGATGATAAGGCTGGGATACAGTGCGCGCCGGGCCGGGAGGAGCGGCAGCTGTATGCTAATACTCGCAGAAACCAGCCTCCGCGTCCCCCATTAAAGCAGGCGGCCAGGAGGCCACACATCACTGAACAAATAGGCTCTCTCTAGACAAATAAAATAACACACGTTGGCCTGCGGGGAGGGGTGGGGGGTGGAGAGCCAGAGGGGGTGAGGAGCGGGAGGAGAGGAAGGGAGGGGGAGAGAGGGGGGCACCGAAGGCGGGGGGGCGGAGAGAGAGGGGAGGGGAGGCCGGGAGGGAGACCAGGAAGAGGGAGGAGCGGGACTGTCCGAGGGGGTCAGAGGTGGAGGAGACTCCGCGGAGCAGAGAGACGAGACGGGGCGGGGGGAGGAGGGGGGCAGTGAAAGATGCGAAGAGAGGAGAGGTGGGATGAGGTGGGACGAGGTGGGACGAGGTGGGACGGGGTGGGACGAGGTGGGACGGGGTGGGACGGGGTGGGACGGGGGAGAAAGAGAAGGGGGTGGCAGGAAAGAAGGCGGGGATGAGGAGGGCAGAGGAGGAACGCGGACCCCCAGCCCAAAAGCCGAAGCGAGGACAGGGGCCCCGAGGCCCAGATGGACAGTGCGCCCCTGCAGTCCCCAGGCGCCTGGCTGTCCCTCCGTCCGCCCCCGGAGCGGGCGAGGACAGGGGACTGTCGGAGTCGCCGGGCCTTTCTGGTCGGTTTTGCTGGAGCTTTGTCGCCGCCTTGTCCGAGACAGGAGAGCCGGGATGCCCCTCAGCGGGGAGGGTGGGGGGAGCCGCCCCTGCGCGCCCCAAACTCGGTGCCCTCCCAGCTCTCCCCGGCCTCGTCCTCTCCGTCTGACTTTCCCACACTCCTGGGCGTCGCTGCGCCCGCCTTGGGTACCATCACCCTTCCAAGTCGCCCGGCCCGGGGCCCGTTCGGCTCGCCTCCCCTCTCCCTCCAGGCCGCGACAGTCCCACCCGAGGCGAAAACAAACAGCCCCCCAGGGCACTTCAAGGGAGCGTGCGGCTGCCCGACGGCACACTTGGCAGGATGAAAGAGGCGGCCGCCCACCACCCCGTGGGCCCCGGGCGAATAATGGGCGCGCGGCAGATTGCCGGGGGCACTTGAAACTCGAGGGGAGGGAACTGCCGGAGCGCGGTCCCTCCCCGCGCCCGGCGGACGGCGCAGCCTCGCGGCTTCGCCCTCGTCCTCCCTCTTTCAAGCGCTCTCCTTTTGTGTGGAATTATTTAAACGGGAGATCTGTGGCAGCTTTATGCTAATATGCCGAACAAAGGCGACGGCCGGCGGGCGGGGGGCCCCGGAAGGTGCCCGGAGGCCGGAGCGGGCTGGGCAGGGCGGCGGCGGGCTGCGCGTGGCTCTCGCGTGCCCCGGGGGCCCAACACGCCTGCCCCTCATTCCTGCAAATACAAAGAGTCTCCGGCTCCGGCCGGCGAGCGCGGCGCACCGGGGTGAGCGGGTCCCTCCGGGACTTGACGGCTGGCTCCACAGCGGGAACGCGCGATCCAGGTCGGGCCGTGACCTGGAGGGCCTCTGCGAATCCGGCAGAGGTGTACGCAAGCGGATGGCGCTGGGGGTGCTGAACGCTTTCCTCTCGCGCCTCCGGGTCGTCTCCAAACACACCCCGGAGACAGACTTCCTTTCTGGCCTCTTAGGGGCTGTATGAACCCAGGAACATCAAGGGGCAATTCCTGGGCCGAAATTCCCCGCTTTAGCGCTTGGCTCCAAGCTTTGGGCTTCTAGCAACTCCCTGGGGCTAACTCCTGGACACAGTGAAGCCCAGCGCCTTCCCCGACGGCAACCTAGGGCTCCTGGACAGGAGAGTCGGAGCAGCCGTGGCCTCCAGCTCTGCAGCGGTCAGAGGAAGCACTCACCCCCTCAAGGAGAGAGGCAAAGAGGCCTCCGGGTTTTTCCTCAGCAATGGCCAGGACCCCACGGGAAGGGAGTCGCTTGGGGCTTAGGAAGGACAGTACCCTGCCTGGGATCCCTCTTCTTGCCTTCCCCCGTGGAACTCCCCTGGAAGGGGCAGGTCAATGCTCAGTAGGTCCCCAACTCAGCTCCACGCGGCCCCTATCCGGAATCGCAGTGCGCGGAGGCCCGCCGCCTCAGCGCAGCGTGGTGGCGCTTTCCTCTTCCAAAAGGAAGGCAAATATCTCGACTCACTGGCCACCTGCCCGCGGGCGCGCAGATTCTGAGAAATAAAATCACGCAGAAGAGAACGGAAACCCAAGACCGGGTGCGAGGTGCACGTCCTTGGACGGTGCTGGTGTGTGCCCTAAGAGAAACCTAGTTCTTTCCCAGCCCTGGGTTGTGAAATTAGTTTCTAATACTCGGACCTTTCAAGTTTACATTTGTTTTGACTATACCTGTCTGAAAGCAGATTTCATTTTCTCTGGCAAGACTAGAGACCACAAATAAAGAAAAAGAAACGGATCCATTGAATCTCGGTATTTCAATAGTGTTCAATAGATTCTCTTAGCTTAATTCAGAGCCCTGTTGAATTCGCTGCATTCAGACAGGGGTTTTGTTTTGTTTTTGCACACACGCACACCCCGCCCTCTTCACAATTATGGGTGTTGTCATTTTTTAAAGGATTCGCAAGGTGACTAACTCTCCCTGTTATCTGTTGAATGAAAAGAGTGTTACACATGCAAAACCAAATACATGGCCATCAGTAGGGGATGCCGGCGGGCAGGCCCCCCCCCCCCACACACCCTATTATTGGACAATCCAGATGGGATTCGTGATTAGAAAATAAAATTGGCCAGAGCTGTCCCGGAATCCCTTTCCCACTTCTAATTTCATCAGCGGTATTAATCAGCACTCAAAAGAGCAAAGAAATAACATCAGTTACTTTTAGACTGAAACACACATATATTTTACATAAAGTCATTTTAGAATTTCTAACTTTTCAAGACTACTTTCATCCTAGTTAGCATTTTTTAAAATGAGGGTGAGAGCTTTCAAAATATATTGTATTATAGTCTATTTTCAGTGTATAAGTTTTTTTTAAAATCACAAACAGAAAATCACCAAATAGTTTCCCCATGATTAATCAACTTGATTAACCCCTTGATTAACTAACTCTAACAACTGTCCCCATTACAACTTATTACTCATGTGGACTCAAAGAAAAAAAAAAAAACCTTTCATTTCCAAGCCAGGGTATTTTCAGAGGGAAAATCCAAAACAATTAAATACCTTCAGTGGAATCAAACGTAACCAAAATTCAGCAACATCTGAGTGTACAGAGCTTTGCAGAAAAGTGCCCATTTCCTTTTCTTTCAATAAAGTGACATTTTCTTCACAACATATGACATTTTATGTGGCTTGGCAATTTGTTTCCTAGTGATGGGCGATCAGGGCCACTACCCACTCTTGGGGTTCTGACCCCTCCACTCCCGGAGATTCTGCTTTTGTGTTTCCTTGGGGCTGGGCTAGGGCTGGGGCTGGGAAGAGCTTGGAGGGAAAGGGCCCGGTCTGGGTCCAAACGGCGTGGTGGGGGTGGGGGTAGATTTTCACTGTTGTTTTTTCCTGGTGGCGCGGTTGGAACGGTGGGCGGGGGGCTGGGGGGGAGGCGGTCGGTCCTCTCCGAGGCCACAGCCTGCCTCAGAGGACAGATTGCCCCCCTCTCCCCCCCGGCCGGCAGCACGCGCCTCTTTTGAGTCCAGATTGGCCGAGACCTGCGCTCAATAGCGGGAGGTTAATTTCCTTCACAAAGGTGAAGGGGGCACGGCTCCGGGGGGCCCCGCGTCCAGACAGGCGGCCCCTTTATTCCGCTGCGCCTTGATTGGAGCCCTTGATTTAGCATCTGATGTCAACCAGCAGACAAAATGCCCGCTCCGAATGAAAATGCATGAGGCCGCGCAAGAAGAGCGGAAACCAACTTCACTAGGGCGCACGCGGCTGGCCGCGCGTTTCGGGCTTTGGCCAACGCCACTCGAATCACCCCAGCCCTGGGCGACGCGGAGGTTCCGAGTGGCCTGGACCGGACCGTTCCAACGATGCCAATCCCCGAGCCTCCGGGAGCTTAAACAACAACAACCCAAAAGTTCAGAAATTCAAGATTTTTTGGGAACTCAGCCTGCTCCTTCCCCCATCCAGCGCTGTGTCTGCAGGCGATTGAAGAAGTGCAGTGCCAACTGTTTCTCAAACTCGAGAGAAACCTTCCTGAGGCCCTCCGGCGCGTGGCGGCTGCGGACATCGCCCTCGGCTGCAGCTAGCAGGCCAGACCCTCCACCCAGACTTGAAACTCCAGGGTCCCGTTTCCGCTTAGATCCTGGGTCCCCGCGGCCCCTCAGTCCCAGGCCCGGGTGGGGGGGGGGGTCCTGGGCGACTCCTGCTTGGCAGCTATTTTCGATTCCCGAGTATTTCCCAATACCAGGAGGAGTTCCAGCGCCTCCCCCAACCCCTCTCCAGCCCCAGCAGCCGCGCTCGGATCTCCCCCGCCCCTGCCCACCGCCGCCCCTACCCAATCAGCGCGCACAACTTCCCCCTCCGCTCCGGCTCGCGGATTGAACCCTCCTGACATATTTGGGGCCATTCTTCTCCTTTGTTGCTATTTTGCTCGCGACCCGCGGGTAATCCCCGCGCGGGAGGGGTGGGGGCGAGCATTGTCGTGCTGATGGACGGGCCCATTTGGCGGCTCCGAGCCCCCCGGAGGAGAGACACAAAGCCCAGGCACGTGCGCCTCCGCATAGAGGAGCAGCAGACCGTGAAGGGAGGCGGGGCCGGGCGTGTGCCGGGGCCGGGCGGGGCGGCGGCGCCGGGCGGGGCGGCCGAGAGGCGCGCGGGGGCCTCGCGCCCTCAGGTACATCTGCCGCACCTACCGGGCGACCCCCGAGTCCCGGGCCCCTTTTGGCCGCCGCGTCGCCCTCCCACCCGACCGGGTGGAGGAGCTGCGGGCGCGCTGATTGGCTCCGGAGGAAGCGGGAGGCGAGAACAATGGCCCCCTCCCCCAGTTAAAAGGGAGCGGCTGCCGGGCCCGGGGACAGGGACGCGCGTGCAGGGCGCAGAGGCGGGCCGAGCTGCCGCCGGCGCCACGCGAGTCCTGCCGCCGCCGCGCCCGGACCATGCGCCGGGGACACTGAGGGCCGCCGGGGCCAAGCGCGGAGGTGGGACCGAGCCAGCCTCTCGCCCTCACCCTCGCGCCGCGCCAACATGCCCCGCGGCTTCCTGGTGAAGCGCAGCAAGAAGTCCACACCGGTATCCTACCGGATCCGCGGCGGCGAGGACGGCGATCGCGCGCTGCTGCTGTCGCCGGGCTGCGGGGGCGCCCGCGCCTCGCCCCCGGCGCCCGGCCCCGGGCAGGGCCCTCTGCAGCCGCCGCCGCCGACCGAGCGCGCCCATGCGGCGCTCGCCGCCGCGCTCGCCTGCGCGCCGGGCCCGCCGCCACCCCCGCCAGGGCTGCGGGCCGCTCACTTCGGCAACCCCGAGGCCGCGCACCCGGCGCCGCTCTACAGTCCCACGCGGCCCGTGAGCCGCGAGCACGAGAAGCACAAGTACTTCGAGCGCAGCTTCAACCTCGGCTCGCCCGTCTCGGCCGAGTCCTTCCCCACGCCCGCCGCGCTGCTCGTGGGCGGCGGCGGCGGCGGCGGAGGGGCCAACGGCGCTGGAGGCGGTGGCACCTGCAGCGGCGACCCGCTGCTCTTCGCGCCCGCCGAGCTCAAGATGGGCACGTCTTTCTCGGCGGGGGCCGAGGCGGCCCGCGGCCCGGGGCCTGGTCCCCCACTGCCCCCCGCCGCCGCCTTGCGGCCCCCGGGCAAGCGGCCTTCTCCCCCCGCCGCCGCGGCCGCCGCGGCCGCAGAGCCGCCCGCCAAGGTAGCCAAGGCCCCGGGTTCCAAGAAGCCCAAAGCCATCCGCAAGCTGCACTTCGAGGATGAGGTGACCACGTCACCCGTGCTGGGGCTCAAGATCAAGGAGGGTCCAGTGGAGGCGCCGCGAGGCCGCGCGGGGGGTGCGGCGCGGCCGCTGGGCGAGTTCATCTGCCAGCTCTGCAAAGAGGAGTACGCCGACCCCTTCGCGCTGGCGCAGCACAAGTGCTCGCGCATCGTGCGCGTGGAGTACCGCTGCCCCGAGTGCGCCAAGGTCTTCAGCTGCCCGGCCAACCTGGCCTCACATCGCCGCTGGCACAAACCGCGGCCTGCGCCCGCCGCCGCCCGCGCGTGCGAGCCCGAAACCCCTGCCCGGGCTGAGGCGCGGGAGGCGACGGGCGGCGGTAGCAGCGACCGCGACACGCCGAGCCCGGGCGGCGTGTCCGAATCGGGCTCCGAGGACGGGCTCTACGAGTGCCACCACTGCGCCAAGAAGTTCCGCCGCCAGGCCTATCTGCGCAAGCACCTGCTGGCGCACCACCAGGCGCTGCAGGCCAAGGGCGCGCCGCCGCCGGCGCCCCCGGCCGAGGACCTACTGGCCTTGTACCCCGGGCCCGACGAGAAGGTGCCCCAGGAGGCGGCCGGCGACGGCGAGGCGGCCGGCGTGCTGGGCATGAGTGCGTCCGCCGAATGCCACCTGTGCCCGGTGTGCGGGGAGACGTTCCCCAGCAAGGGCGCCCAGGAGCGCCACCTGCGCCTGCTGCACGCCGCCCAGGTGTTCCCCTGCAAGTACTGCCCGGCCACCTTCTACAGCTCGCCCGGCCTCACGAGGCACATCAACAAGTGCCACCCGTCCGAAAACAGACAGGTGATCCTCCTGCAGGTGCCCGTGCGTCCGGCCTGCTAGAGCGCGCCCTCCACCCCGGCCCCCCGAACCGTGCCTTCGCTTGGAGACCCACGGAGAGAGCGCGTTCCGACCCTGCGCCCGCGCCGGGGGCGCCCATCCCCGGTGAAAGTGTGGTCTCCGCTTTTCTCGGTGTGGCGTGACGGTAACCCCATCCTCTCGTTGTGACTCCTTTTGGACACCACCCCCCCCCCCCCCGCTTTGCGTTGTGTCCCCTTCTCCCCCTCACCATGGCGCAACAGGAGCCAATCTCTTTTTGTACAAGGGAGAAAAGCTGTACGCGTTTGTCTCGTGGTTGGAAGCCTCCTCTTGGAGGGGAGATGTTTTTCTTGCTAGTATTCGCTGTGTTCATGGTCTAGAAATGCGGTTTGCTCTCGCCTACCAATCTCTGCTCTCTATGTATGTAGCCTACGGGTTGTTTTGGGTGAATCTTGAGGAATAAATGCCTTTATATTTCACAGGCTGTAAATTGAACTCCCCACATGATTAGCTTTATTATGGCTTGTGAACTGCTGGAGTCTGGCTTTACCTTTTTGTATGTGAACAAATCAAATTGCTTAAAAAAAAAAGAGTTTTCTTTAGTCTAGCCACAAATGCCTTGAACGTTGTCTGTTTGGGATTGTTTTTAGGAGGGAGGGATGGGAATTTTCAGAAGATGCTGTAGAAACTGCCTCAGTATTTCACATAAGTCTTTTCAGTTTGATCATCTTTGTTGAGGTAGGACTATATGAGTTCCCTCTAAATGTATATGTTGATTTATGAGTAATTGTTATTTATTCTTTATTTATTTATATTAATTATGAAGATTATGATATTATTTGATTGCATATTTTTTGGTGCGCTTCCCCCCTCCCCCCACCACTCTTGACATTTCACTGTGCATTTTAGAAGAGAGCCTTTTTCTAAAGGGATCTGTTAAAAGTTTTAACTTTTATACCTATCTGAGCGAATTACAGACAACCTACCATTTTATTCTGCTTGGAGCCCCTCCCCCCTGGGGCCCTGTACAACTGACAGCTCTTACTTTTAAATGCAATCTCTTTTCTACATACATTATTTTCTTAATTGTTAGCTATTTATAGAAAGCTTCAATAGAACTGTTTCAACTGTATAACTATTTACTATTCAAATAAAATATTTTCAAAGTCAAAGTAAGGTGGACTTATTTCTGCATCATGTGGTTTCAACAAAGATTTAAAACAGCTTCCGATGATTTCTTCAATGTATGCCTGCTGTTTATTAAGAAAAAAATCCCACCACCCTCACTGGAATTGTGGATTTTTAGAGCTGAACCTGAACTGCTGAATTCTGCCCCTCTGGCAGTTCAGGGGTGTAGGCTCAAAACAGACTGGAGCCAGAGGCTTTTTAGGGGTCCTTAGGAATGTACTGGAAGGTAGAGTTAGAAGGGAGGCTGTGCAAACCTTTTTCAGAGAAATCTAGATAAATGTCCACAGAATCTAGCTTTTAAACTAAGGGGATATTAGAACACCACCTTAATTTATCAGATCCTCATTTCCTGACAATTTGGGGTTCAGTGTAACAGTAATTCCTCAAGTAAAGATGGGTAATTTTTTATCCTTAAGTATCAACCAGGAGAAAGTAGGAATGATTTTATGGTTAGATTACCAAAGTAAGGGACACAGACCAACTCCTGTTTGGGTGAACCAGAAGTTAAGCAACTGAGTTTAAAGTAAGGACTCAGAAATAATTTTCCAATCAGGTGAGCAATCCATTTTGGGGGGGGGGACTGGAGCAGCATCTGTTTGGGATATTAAATTTAATAACGGTAATTACAGTGTTTTCCGTGATGTGTCACAAAGCTCTTCGAAGAACAATCCTGACGTTCACCAGTGAATATCTGGAGTTGTTTTTCTCCACCTTTGAAACGCTCGATTATGGAGCTGTGCTAACCATCACAGTTGTGTATTCTCTGTGGCCCACTAAATCTAAGGTTTTGCCCCTCAAAGGGATTTTAGAAATCCATACAGTTGAAGCCGCATTTCCAAAAGGTGTAGCTGGCATGATGGCGGGAAGGGCAACACATGAGAAACTTGGAAGGAAAATGTGACGAAAGAGATGATTTTCAGATTTTGAGCCTAAAGTTTTTTGTGGGGCGAGGTTTACTGAAAGTTTCACTCTCAGGACCCTCTTTGTGAGGGTCTTGAAACAGACTCAGGAACAATGGAGGAGCAGCCAGCACAGGTAAGTTGCCTCGGGGACAAACTGCCCCTCTTTTTATTATTTTTTTTATTATTTACCAGTTTGGAAAATACTGGAAGACCAAAGCTCTGTGCAGCCCAACATGAAAGCATAGGGACAAAGCTGTGTTAATAACCTCCTGAAAACTTGGAATGAAACAAAGAAACCTTCAAATTTGTGGCCTGATAATTGCTCCCTGGAAGCAACAATATGAGATTTTTTAAATGTTCCCTCTGAATTTATACCTCACAATGAAAGACCCAGCCTCCTGAGGGTCAGTGTACATTCCATGCCAATACAAATTTTTCTTAAAAACCTGGTGGTTGGCCTGCAGGTATGACATCTTGGCATCTGTGTTTGGCTTGGTTTTCTTGTCCATAATCATAAAAGCATAAACCCTAAGGCCCATCTTCAGAAAAATATGATTTGGTGGTTTGAAAATATGCTCCTTCATCCCCTGTGGATATTCATTTTGACTGTCCAAGGAGACCTTTTCTAAAACAGAAACCAAAATTTCATCTTGAAATGAGCTAGGAAATATCATAGTGAATTTCATCTCTGTAAGATATTCTGTGAAATCGCATACTGAAGGGAGTACAATGAAGTTGACTAAACAGCGCAGAGAGAGAGAAAACCGTGGTCACTTTGTTTCACAGTAATGCAACGTGAGTTAGTAGAGTGTTCCGCAGGCAGGAAATCAGATGGTCTGTCTCTTCATTCCTCCCTGGATAATAAGTTCCCAAGGGCTCCTATTATAAAATGCCAAGTGGGAATGCACCCACCTTCCTTATAAGTGTGCAAAGGATCAGGAGAGCATCCTCTGTGTGGAAGGCTGCTCCCACCTGGACGCCCACCAGTGGAAACGGGCTGCGAAGGAACTCAAGACAGTTCAGCCCGGGGAGGCGGGCGGGGGCCGGCGGTTAGGAGGCGGGCCGCCGCTGGGGGCGCTGTTCCTCCCCTGTAGCGCCTTGGCCTGAAGGTGATGCCCAGGCCCTCTGGCTTCACTCTGGGTAGCACTCACGCAGGCAGCTGCTCCAGGGTAACTTGGAAGCGCGTGGGGCCAGGCCAGAGGCGCCACAGCTGCTCGCTATGACAGCGTCACAGCGCAGAGCAGAACAAGACTGGAGGCCGGGTGGGCTCTGGGCCCTCAGTGGCACCTAGGGGTATAGTGGGGTGCCCTGCAGACATCTGGAGGCACGGTCGGGCCGGCACCTACAGTCACTGGGCGCCTGTGGCCTAGAGCGTCTGTGCCCAGAGGTGGCTGGCCAGGGCTCCTCTGTGATCCACCATTGTTTTGCTGCAGGCTCTCCGGGGTAGCCCCTACTCCCAACCCGCAACCCCTCCATCCCCTTGGACTTCATTCCACAGCTGTCCACCACGTCTTTGAGACACAGGAAGCAGAAGAATCTTTTGACAATCCTCTGTAATATCCTAAGAATTCCTCACCTACCCGATATCTTGTGGATGCAAAAGGCCAAGAAGCAGCTGGGGCTACAGGGCATCCAACAGGCCCGTGTCAGCATGTCTAACCTGGAGGGAATGGACTTTGGGAGACCCAGTGAGACACTGGGGAGGACATTGTGGGCTGAAAGGCGAAGACCAGTAAGGGCCCTAGGGGGAGCAGGAGGGAGAAAAGATCTGCCCGGGGAGTGTGTCTTGTGACCTTAGTACTAGTTATGAATCCACTGGCTTGTGGTAGGCAGGCTTTGACCCAAACTTGCTTTCTTTCTGCAGAAAGGATGTTTTGTCTTATGGGAAAGATTTTCTGGCAAATTGACCCTAGTGTATGGGGCCACGTAGACGGCCACCTACACACACAGTGTGTGTGTGTGTGTGTGTGTGTGTGTGTGTGCACGCACCACCCAGGTAGCCTGTTTCAGGCTAGGTTAAGTTACAGTCTTTTAGTGGCTAGGCTAGAGAAAGTTGTGTGTTTGCCTGTTAAAAGCCCACACTGCGGGGTTTAGAGAAGATCAATCAGGAAACCGAGTTGTAGAGAGAGACCTGAAAGGTGGCAGAACACTCTATAGCAAGAGGATCAGCTGAGCAGCACCTCACTAGGATGTTGGTCCCATTGAACGCCCAAGGTGGCACCAGAGCTTGGATACAATATGGTGGTCCAAAGACACTTAGGATTCTGATCCTAAATTCTGGAAACATCCAAATCATGTCATGGCAATATAACCTGAAAGGAAGAGCCTGAGGATCTCACTGGGGAGAGAGAGCGAGCAGACAAATGCATCTTCAAATTATAAATATCTCACATAGTGAAGAAAGTTGCTCAGTTGTGTCCAACTCTTTGTGGCCCCATGGACTGTAGCCCGCCAGGTTCCTCTATCCATAGGATTCTCCAGGCAAGAATACTGGAGTGGGGTGCTATTTCAGGGGATCTTTCTGACCCAGGGATTGAATCCAGGTCTCTTGCATCTCCTGCATTAGCAGGCAGTTCTTGACCACTAGCGCCACCTGGGAAGCCCCAGTGAAGAAACTTAGTGTGATTTTAAGAGCAACCTGCAGCATCAAATGACTCATACTCATGGGGAAAGGCTGAAACACTCATTGTAACGTGAATGTTGTAACATGGTGACTGGGTGTCAGGCTGGTCAGCATCACAGAGAGCAGTTCAGATGTGAGGCCTGGTCACGGGTTCCCAAGAATGTCCCTGCCTGGTGGCCCTGGGAGAAAGAACTAGTCCCAGATACCTAGAGGATAAGGCCATCCTCTGAAGGCCTGCTCCTAGTCCTGGCACTTCCTCCCATTTGCTCATGCCTTGGTCAACCAAGGCTCCCTGGCAAGGCCAGATACCT